AAAGAGTGCAGCACGTACTCTCAGTTTAATCAGCAATCTTCAAAAATAGTACATTTTAAATTGAGTCACGTTAATATGAACCTTAACTGGATATAGCAAAAATCTGGTAAGGCACTTCCCAATTTTGTTCCAACTTTCCGACATTGACTTCCCGGGTATTATGAGTCACTTTTCGTAAGATCAAGTCTCCAACTTTAAAATAACAAAGATTTGATCTACGATTATAATATCTTTCCATCATCTGCTTCCATTCCATTATTCTCACATTAGCCAAATTCTGGTATTTCTCAAGTAAATCCAACTTAATCAACATCAGTTCTTCATTTTCTTGCTCGTTCGCCCGGGAGAACCTCATTGTTGATTCACCTATCACCACTGGAATCTGAGATTCTGCACCATACATAAGGGAAAAATTTATTTCTCTAGTGCTTGATTTTGTTGTGGTTCGATACGCCCATAATACTCCTGGTAACTCCTCAGACCACCTGCTTTTTGCATCTTCTAATTTCTTTTTGAGGCTTTGAATTATCACCTTGTTTGTTGACTCTACTTGACCATTAGCACTTGGATGATACAGAGATGGCGTTATCCTTTTAATCTTTAATCCCTCTAAGAATTTTTTAACTTTGGAGCCTATGAATTGTGGCCCGTTTCACAAGCAAGTTCCTTTGGTACTCCAAATCGACAAATAATGTAATCTCAAATAAAATCTATCACCTCTCGTTCTCCAACCTTCTTGAAAGCACATGCTTCAACATATTTAGTATAATAATCAGTCAGAGCTAAAAGAAATTTTACCTCTCCGGGTCCCAGAGGCAAATGACCAACTATATCAATCCCCTATTTCATAAATGACCATGCCAACATAACTGAATGTAATTGTTCAGCCGGATGGTGTACGAACTGAGCATAACATTAGAATTTATCATATTTATGCACAAATATCTTTGCTTCTTGCTCCATTCAGGACCAATAGTAACATAAATTCCTTCATGAACTTCCCTTGTCACATAATCATCTTTCGTTGGTCCCAAGCATCGAGCCAACAGACCCTGAAAAGATCTCTGGTACAGTTGTCCATTAACAAGACAATAAAAGAGGATTGTACAAGTATTTTTTTTTCAAATCTTTCATTGCTTGCTGGCATTCCGGTGTCCACGAGAATTCGTTCTTCTTTTTAGTAATAAAAATAGCCGATGGCACTTATCCGAAGATCTTGATATAAATCTACGAAGGGCTGCCAACCTTCCGGTCAAACATTGCACCTCCATTACATTTTCAGTTGATTGAGAATATCATCTATGACTTTGATCTTGTCAGAATTTAGTTCAATTCCTCTTTGCGAAACCAAGAAGACGAGAAATTTTCTGATCAAACTCCAAAAGCACACTTCTTTGGGTTAAGTTTCATCTTGAACTTCCTTGAGATGTAAAATATTTCTTGAAGATGAGTCAAATAGTCCCCTGCACTAAGAGACTTAACCAACATGTCATCAATACAAACTTCCATCATTTGATCAACTTTGACGCTCAAATATCTTATTATGGAGCCTCTGATAGGTGGCTCCTGCATTTTTGAGCCCAACAGATATCACATTATAATAGTAAGTACCAAAATTTTGTAATAAATAATATTTTCTCTTGACCCTCCGGGTGCATCCTAATTTTATTATACCCGAAATATATATCAAGGAAACTCATAAACATATGCCCAGAAGTGACATCAATCATTTGATCGATGTTCGGCAATGGAAAAGAATATTTAGGGCAAGCCTTATTCAAATCCTTAGAATCATTATACATTCTAAACTTATTATTCTTTTTTTGGACTACTACTATATTAGCTAACCAATCAGGATACTCAGCTTCACGTATTGAACCTATATTAAGCAATCTGGTTACCTCCTTCTTAACAAACCTATTTCTGACCTCGGCTATCGGCTATTTTTTCTATTTTATCGGAGTAAAATTGGGGTCCAAGCTAAGCTTGTGAACTGCAACTTCAAGTGGGATACCTGTCATATCTAAATGTGATCACACAAAACAATCAACATTAGCCTTAAGAAATTCAATAATTTTATGTCTGAGTTCGAGGCTTAACCCAATTCCCAAGTAAACCTTCCTTTCCGAGAACCCAATGAGCAAAATGACTTGTACGTTCTTCTACGATTGATTTTATTATATCAGTTTCTTTCTGTACCTAGAAAGATCTAGGTACCTGATAAATATCTGGTGTCTCTCCTCATTACTATTTTAGTGATCAAAAGTTGATACCAATTTCTGTAATTGCTATTTCTTCACTCTATCTACCTTACTCCTAGGTAAAGTAACTACATTCATTTCCCTTGTAATGGGTTGATCACCACTAATTTGCTTAATTCTATCTGGTGCTGGGAACTTTAGCAACTGATGAAAAGTTGATGGCCCAGCCTTCATATCGTGGATCCATGGTCTACCGAGAATCACGTTATATCTCATATCACCATCCACAACTTCAAATAGTATTGATTTCGTCATCCATTCGGCGTACGTAGGCAATACAATCTCTCCTCGGATCGTCACACTTGTTAAGTTGAACCCAACCAAAAGCTTTATCGTCTAAACTATGTTACCGATCATCTTCGTTTGTTCTCGGACTCTCAATTAAATAATAATAGCTGAACTACCTGGATCAACTAACACACGCTTAATTTTGAAATCTAAAATATTTAAAGATATTATCAGTGCATCATTCTGTGGTAAAATAAGTCCATCAGCATCTTCCTTTGTGAAGGTGATTTCATCATATTCCGGTGCTTCCCGGATCCTCTTACCATACGTGCAGCCGAAAATTTCACCTCGTTCACTTCAATCCCTCCAAAAATTATGTTTGTGGTAAGATAGGGAGACCTTGTTGGTTTTGTTGGTTCTATTGTATCACGACATTTGATGTAATTATTCTTTGCTTGATCACTTAAAAACTCTCTAAGATGACTATGTTTTAGTAAGATTGATACTCTTCACTAAGATGACGGCAGTCCCCAGTCCTATGACCATGTGTTCCATAGAATTGACACCATAAATTAGGGTCTCTCTGATTGGTATCCGATTGAATTGGTTTTGAAAATCTTGCTTCCTTTATATTCCTCATAGCAGAATCCAACTTTACTAAGCTGATATTTAAATTGTAAACTAATAACCGGGGACAACTAGAATCCCCGGACCCCGGTGGCACTTTATATTGCAAAGTTCAACTACTTTGCCCATGATCATCCCTCATGTCCGGTCCGGGTCTTTTCAATGACTGAAAACCTCTAACTCTATGCCAATGTCCTATCAGTGTATCTGGCCATTGTTTTGACACATATGGTTGGTAACGACTCCTGGATGGCCTCCAATCCGCATCAAAGTCACTCTTGAACCTTTCTAGATTCTGATCACGATTTTTACCTTTTATAGACACCAGAGAACCCAACTGATCATATCAATCCAAACTTTAGATTCATATCGGTTATGGACATTAGCCTATGTGGTTGCTTGGAATTCAAACAAACTCTCCTTCAACTTTCTTGAGACATCAGAGCTTAAGGACTTGAGACCTTTGGTAGATGCTCCCGCTTCCTATTTATCCGGTACTGCCAGCAACAACATCCTCTCCTTTTGATACCTATTGAGAAATTTTGAAAATATTTGCTTTCCTAGCTTGAACTTTCCTTGCTCCAGTGTGAGCTTTGATGAAAGAATCTGTAAGCATTTCAAAAGAATCAATTGAGTGCTTAGGTAAAAGTGAGTACCAAGTTAAAGCCCCTTTTGTTAGGGTTTAGCCAATTTTCTTTAACAAAACTGATTCGATCTTATACAGCCCCTAGGGTACCAAGTTAAAGCTCCTAGGGTTTCTGGTGAGTCCATTGTAGCAAATCCCACATCTCCATTGTCCAAGCTTATACAACCAGTTTTTTGGCGAGCCTGTTGCAGCAAAGCCCTACGTCTCGATTACAGTCCAGGTTCTATCTTTCTTGAATTATTATTTTTCTTGCCTTTACTATCTCGATATTTTGTCTTACTTGTCTTGCTTTAACTGAATAACGTCACTTGTTTTACTGCCATTTTTAGTAGACCTTATTTAGCTATTAGTTAGGACTTGCCTGCCATATTTGTTTCCTTAAGAATATTATTTACAAGTTGTCTTTTGTCTTGCTTTAATTGTAGAACGACACTTGTTTTACTGTCATTTTTATTAGACCCCTTATTTAGATATTAGTTAGGGCTTTCCTGCCATATTTGTTTCCTTAGGTAGCTTATTTACAATCTGTCTCTAGCGTATTTTTGTGATCTAATTGTAGCCACTTTGTCTCAACTACTTGTATTTTATTTAATTTTTTCTTCCCAAGCTATATTATAGTAGTTTTGCCCATTTTATCTGTGACCTCTAGTTGTTTTTATCAATATTAGTTGGAGATTATATTTCGGTTATTCCTTTTAATTTTTTCTCTTAGTTTCGGGATAGTGTTTGCGTAGTGTCTCCTAGATTATAGTGATTTTGGTGAACGATAGTAGGGTAAGGTCTTGTACTCGGGGGTGTCCTGACGGGGGAGGGGTAATAGGGGTAAGAGGGCTAAGGGAGCCTCCAGGCTGAGAGTGGGGTCATGGAACATAAGAACTTTGACTGGAAAGTCTATAGAGTTAGCGAGGATTCTCGAAAAAAAATATAAATATAACTTGTATACAGAAGACTAGATGGGTAGGAGATAAGGTGCGGGATGTGGGCAAGTTCAAACTATGCTATTCTGGGAGGGTGGGGGCACGAACGGGGTATGTATCTTGGTTGATGAGGACCTCTGCAATTTAGTGGTGAAGGTTAGGAGGGTAAATGACAGGTTGATGACTATTAAGATAGTTGTTGGATGATTTATTTCGGTGCGTATGCACCCCAAAAAGCTTGAACGAGGAAGACATAAGGCATTTTTGGGAGGATTTAGATGAGATGGCGCATGGTATTCCATATACTGAGAAGCTTTTCATATGAGGAGATTTCAACAGCCACATTGGAGCGACGTTTGGGGGTATGATGATGTGCATGGTGGCTTCGGTTTTGGAGATAGGAACGGAGGAGGAACTTCTCTGTTGGACTGTACTAGAGCGTTTGATTTGGTGATAGCAAACTCGAGTTTTCCGAAGAAGGTAGAGCACTTGGTCACTTTCTGGAGTTCGGTGTCCGTGACTCAAATTGATTATCTTCTCTACAGGAAGTCTGATATAGGACTTTGCACAGATTGTAAGGTCATCCCGAGTAAGAACCTCATGACCCTTCATAGGTGCGTGCTCATGGACCTTGAGATCACGAGGAAGAGGAGGAAAATAGTGGTGTATAGCCAACCTAGGATCAAGTGGGGAGCCTTGATAGAAGCCAAAGCGCAGGGGTTGGAGGTTAAGTTAATAACTAGGGGGCTTGGAGGAGTAGAGGGGATACAAGCTCTATGTGGACAACGACTGTGTAGTGCATTAGGAAAGCCACTAGAGAGGTATTAGGGATCTCGAAGTGTTACTCTGGTGGACACAGAGGAGACAGGTGGTGGAATGGAGAGGTGAAAGAAAAAGTGGATACCAAGAAAGCGGCATATCTGAAGCTAGTGGAAAATGTAGACGAGGAGGAGAGAAGGGTGAATAAGGTGCAATATAAGTTAGCTAAGGAGGAGGCAAAATTAGTAGCTACGACAGCCAAAACTGCACTTTTGGTCATTTGAATGAAGAACTCGAGGGCCGAGGTAGGGATAAAAGGTTGTTTAGGTTAGGAAAGGTGAGAGAAAGGAAGGCCAGTGACTTGGACCAGTGAAGTGCATCAAGGACAAAGAAGGTCTTTTGTTAGATAAGGGGCTTATCCGTCGGAGATGGCAGACCTAATTCCATAGTCTCTTGAACGGGAGGGGGGGGGGGGGGGGGACGGAAACATTGTATTGCGGGAGTCATTGCGACTTTTGGTATTGCAGGCGGATTAGTGTTGAGGAGGTAGAGGGGGCTATGCATAAGATGAGCAGGGGCAAAGCGACCGAGCCGGATGAAACCCTAGTGGAGATTTGGAAGAGTGAGGGCAAGGCGGGCTTAGAGTGGCTCACTAAGTTATTTAATGTCATTTTTAGAACGAAGAAGATTCCCGAGGAGTAGAGATAGAGCACGATAGTTCCTTTATACAAGAATAAGGGTGATATTCAAAATTGTAATAACTATCTGGGTATCAAGCTGCTTAGCCATACTATGAAAGTGTGGGAGAAGGTGGTGGAGCTAAGGGTGAGGAGGAGTGTGTCTATTTCCAAGAATCAATTCGGGTTTATGCCGGGGCGCTCGACTACAGAGTCCATTCACCTTGTTAGGAGTTTGATGGAGTAGTATAGGGAGAGGAAGAGGGACTTGCATATGGTGCTCATCGACTTAGAAAACGCGTACGATAAAGTCACGATGGAGGTTTTGTGGAGATGTTTAGAGACTAGAGATGTACATGTTGCCTATATTAGGGTGATTAAGGAGATGTATGATGGAGCAAAGACCTGAGTGAGGACGGTGGGAGGGTAATTGGACCATTTTTCGGTCATGATAGGGTTGCACCGAGGGTCAGCACTCAATCCTTTTTTGTTTGCCCTGACGAAGGATATTCTGACGCGCCAAATCCAAGGGGATGTGTCATGGTGCATGTTATTTGCAGATGATAATGTATTGATTGATGAGATGCGAAGCGGTATGAACACGAGGTTAGAGGTGTGGAGGCAGACCCTGGAATCTAAATGTTCCAAGTTGAGTAGGACCAAGACAGAATACTTGGAGTATAAATTCAGCGGTGAGACTCAGGGAGGGAAAGGGGAGGTGAAGTTGGACTCACAAGTCATCCCTAGGAGAGGAAGTTTTAAGTACCTTGGGTCTATTATTCATGGAGACGGGGATATTGATGAAGATATCACTAATCGTATTGGGGTAGGATGGATGAAATAGAGACTCGCTTATGGTATTTTGTGTGACCAAAAGGTGCCACCAAATCTTGAAGGTAAGTTCTACAGAGTGGTGGTCAGACTGACTATGTTGTATGGGGCTGAGTGTTGGCCTGTCAAGATCGCCCATGTCCAGAAGATGAAGGTAGCAGAGATGAGAATGTTGAGATGGATGTGCGAAAACACTAGGTTAGAAAGGATTAGGAATGAGGTTATTCACGACAAGGTGGGTGTGTCCCTTATTGAGGACAATATGCGGGAAGCGAGGCTTAGGTAGTTTGGACATGCGAGTAGGAGGAGTACAGATGCCCCAGTGAGAAGGTATAAGAGGTTGACGTTGGAGGGCCTACGGAGAGGTAGAGGTAGGCCGAAGAAGAAATGGGGAGAGGTAATTAGGCAAGACATGGCGCAACTTCAGCTGACCGAGGACATGACCCTTGATAGGAAGGTGTGGAGGTCGAGGATTAGGGTAGTAGGGTAGGTGGTAGATTGTTCATACCAGTAGTATTAGTACGCACTCTAGAATTTTGTTGGTAGTAAGTTTCTATGACTACCCGTTATTTTCTTTCATTTTGATCATCTTATTAAAGTGTTGTTTTTATGCTGCTTTTACATGACTATTTGGTGTTGTCCCTCATTGTCTATCTTTTAAGTAATGTGATGCTTATGTTTTTCTGAGCCGAGGGTTTATTGAAAACAGCCTCTCTACCTTCAAAATATAGGGGTAAGGTCTACACACTACTCTCTCCAGACCCCACGATGTGAGATAATACTATGTATTTTGTTGTTGTTGTAAAGCTGATTTGATCTTATGTGGCGCAAATCATTTTCCTTCACAGTTGTAGTGTAAGTTGTAATGTTTTTCTGTGGATCCAATGTTCCCTCATAATTTAGAATATTCGGCATTTTGAATCTTTTTGGGATTAACTCTGGAATCGTACTAGGCTTTAACGACAACTGTATATACTTCTTTGAGTCCGGGCCTTTTAAGATCAAAGGTGCTCCAGGATTTGATCCATCCGAACATGAAACTCTTTTGCATTATAATCATGTCGAGCATTTATTTTTCTCATGCACCTCATGAGCTCACTCTTGAAAGGATCGTTCGTGTTGTTTTTATTTTTAGATCCACTACCTGCACCGCCTGCTTGGTTGTTGTTCGATCTGAACTCCTCACTTGAAGTGACGTTACCAGTTCTTGGAGTTGTTTGATTTATAGGCACGCCAGGAGAAGCTCGAACTCCACCATTGGAATTAATTAAAGCCACTGATAGCGCTTGGTGGAGCTCAGTCATTATCCAGTCTTGTCTTAAGAGATGATTCATGATCTCCCTTTGCTATGCTTCTCAGTTATTATCCAGTCTTGTCTTAAGAGATGATTCATGATCTCCCTTTGCTATGCTTCTCAGTTATTATCCAGTCTTGTCTTAAGAGATGATTCATGATCTCCCTTTGCTATGCTTTCAAAACTTTTACAGTATCAGAAACGGGCTCATGATCCAAATCATCAGGGGTAGGACTCGTCGCACGCTGAGTATTTCTTTCTACCCGATTTGGAGTTGATTTATTGCCATCGATATGGGTTTCACTGGTTGAATCGTCTTATAGATTTCCATCATCAAAATTGTCCACATGTTCATTATTATTGTTTCTTCTAACATTGAGCAAGTTGTTGACATCATTAACTGTTTTATGCTTGCAACAAAAGGACTTCAAAGTACGTTAGTAAAAGATGAGCAGATCAAGTTAATACCACAATTGTCTAAGCCTCACAGTAAGCGATAAATTGTTTACCTATAAATAGGTACAATTGAATTTATGACGTGGTTTATAAGCACGTGGATTAAACTTATCTGATTAATAAAATAATACAATACAAAGGAAATAAAATAAAAATAATTAAAGAAAGAACAAGTCTGGATTTTAGATTGATCCCACTAGAACTAAGAACAATTCGAAAATCTTAATAACAATAGTATAAAGCTCTTTTAAGAATGAGAGAAGAATGTTAGTCTTTGTGGTACAAATATTTTGTGTCCCATCGATGAGTACAAATGTTGCTATTTATATCTAAATTTGAGGAGACAAGATCCTCAAATCACACCATCTTAAAGATGAATAAAAATTCCATCTTGATGGTTGCATAACATTTGGGAATAAATGCTATGATTTTAAGTAATGACTGCTTCTTTAAGGCTTCCTACTTCAACAGGTACCTTACTTTCAAATATTCCTCCCCAGACTTAATATAATCGGAACTTACACAATACCTGTCACAAGTCTGTATCTGGTACCAATTATCTGCTGACTCGTCTCCAGTCTGTCTCCACTGCCACGTGCCCACTTGTGAAGTATACACCTACAAACTGTAGTTTTTACCTAATACAACATTCACATCAGTATATCTAAGATTTAAATCAGTGAATACAGAGGATTATTATTGTACCCACTAATTATTTTGTGCTAACTTTTATTTATTTTTACATATATATATACACACATACCAATCAAATAATTTTGCACTTAGTGTTTTCAGAATGAAATGAAGGTTGTTCAAGCTTTGGAAAAAACATAGTCACCTCCTAATCTTATTTTCAAGGAGGAAAAAGCAATTCAAACTAAAAAATTAAGCATTTCTTCTGTGGAATAAATATTTTGTTTTGTAGTCTCTCATATTTGGCCAAGCATTATTTTTGGCCCAAAAGTATTTTTTTGGTCAAAAAAATTTTTTCCCAAAGTTAAAGTGTTTGACCACACTTTTAGAAGAGAAAAAGTATTTTCGAGTAGAAGTAACTTTTGAAAATCAGAAAAAAAATAGTATCTTACTTTTTTAAAAAGTATTTTTTTTAAAAGCATTTTTTTAGAAAAATACGCTTAGAATCACTTCTTAAAAGTTTGGCCAAATACTAATTGTTGCTTAAAAATAATTTTTTAAATTAATTAGCCAATCTTTTTGTACCAAAAAGTAGTTTATTGAAAAAATACTTTTCAACATAAGCTGATTTTAAAAGCTTGACTAAATATGCTATAAGTCTAAACCTAGAGCAAAATTGTAGTTCTTATATTCGTGAAATAATCAAATAGCGATAAATACCGCTATTGCACGAGAAAGAAGTGAAAGAATTTGATGAAAAAATCATTGAGGATATACAGTCAAACCTCTCAATAACAGTATCATTTGTTCCGAATATTTTTGATATTATAACGAAATGCTGTTATAGAGAACATATATTATAACATAAAATAAAAATTGATTCCGAAAAAATTTGGCTTTTATAGTGAAGTGTTCTTATATAAGGATGTTGTTATAGAGAGGTATGACTGTACATTTAGCTATGGATATTTCCTTAATGATGTTCATTATTATTTTGTCAAATGCCCAATCAAAATAAAAGTGAGATAAAAAGGATTTAAGGAATATATACTAATGGTGGTATAAAGATCTTTTACACTCGGCGCAATTTAACATGAGATTGCATGTTAATTATCATTTTACTAGGCTAATGTTTATTATAAAAATTTATTTATAATTATCATATAAGTGATCTAGTTGAGTAACTAGTTTTACTCTGTTAGTGCATAAAATTAAATCATGATAAAAGCAATTTCACAGTTCTGCAAAAATTGTTATGTTGCTTATATATTAAGCGGAAAAGGGCCAAAACTACCCCTAGATTATTCGATTTGATATAAAAAATACCCTCCGTCCACCTATTTGAATAAAAATACCATCATTGTTATCTTAGTAGCTCAACTTTGCTCGTTCT